GCAGAGGGTGCTCAGAACATGGACTGCACCAAAACTGAATCTTCATCCCTTAGGCTGTCATGGCTTTGTATTATTGCTTATCAACTCCAGTGACAAAATCTAGCCTTTTCAGCATTGTGCGCCCACATTCCTAACATGTTCCTCCAACATATCTCCCAATTTCCTGCTTCCTTATCTATGCCATGCATACTTGGTAAAATTCCTTCCCTCCTACTGTCTGACTCATTCTCACATCCCAACTTCTGAGACATTTCACCTCTGTCTGCCCCTCTACTTAGCCCTTTCGGCTTTCCTGCATGAAATGCCCATTCATTGGAAGCAACCTCTGCTAGATAAATAAAATAGTGTGGCAAAAATATACTCTGCAATTAACTGACAAAGGTTTATCATTCTTATCCTCTGCATTTTCTTAGTGCTGCTTTTTACTTCCCAGCCTTACCTAAAACCTGGGAATTCTTTGCCCTGATAATGCTAGTTCCCTCCAGACTTTCTCCAACTTGTCAGTAAAACATTTTTGACTTGGGTGTGTGTGAGGGTTGTGGGATGGGGCTTTCTCTAGCGGGGAAACATTATTTCCATTTCCAAGCTCACAGGAGTCAGCAATATTTCTGCTCCTTACATGTTTTTAGACAGCAGGGAAAGTGTCAGAAGCAAGGAAAAGATTGAAGGTGAAAGCAAGAGAGGGAAAATTTATGAAGAAAGTCTCATAGGAGATAGGAAGAGAATGGTGTGAGATCACCAGTAGAGGTATTGACCTTAATGAGGAGGAAAAAGGGATTTTACTTTGTCTGGGGAAGGGGAAGAAAACAGAAAAACAATTCTGAGGCTGAGAAGAATTTTGTAGGGGTAGCTTCCACCTTCTCAGTGAAACAAGAAGGGAGGTTGTTTGCAGAGGTAAGTGAGCTCGGGTTGGGCACCTGAGAAGAGTGAAAACAATTGTAAGTAGTACTTTGCATAAACATAGTCAGGGAGCCAATGAATAAGGTTGTGGAACAGCAGTGGGAATTACCTAGACCACCTCTCCCACCCTCAAAGGACAGAAATGCTGTTCATAGCTTATTTCTCCTTTAGCAACTCAGCATGTAGTAGGGCTAGGAAGAAATGATAAAAGGGAAGGATAATATGAGGAAGAGCCACTGGGGTGGGCAGCACCATTTTACCCTTCCTACCAATTTTCTTTCTTCAGACCCTCATCAGATGAGTACCACAACTGGCACCTACCAGGTGGCCAAGCTTCCAGACTGTCTCCCCTCCAATTCATTCTCCATTGCACATATCACTCTATTGTATATATTAATTGTTTCACCTGACATTGCTGCCGCTTCTGAGTCTTCTTTGTGCCCCTAACCTAGCATGTGGTAGGCACTCAATAATTGTCCTGTGGAAAAGCCCTTAGAATAATATTTCTAAAATAAAAATCTGAATATGCTGCTTGCTTTTTTTTAATTGAGGTAAAATTGGCATAGAACATTATATAAGTTTTAGGTGTGCAACATTTCAATTCAATATCTGTATACACTACAAAGTGATCACTGCCAAGAGGCTGCTTGCTTTAAAAAAAAACAAAAAAAAAAAACTTAATGATCCTCAGCATAATATTTATCCCCTCCTTGTGTCTTCTATAACTTTATCTCTTGCCACCTTTTCCCATTTCCCACTTGTTACCCTGTCTTAACTTAGCCATATTTGACTAGTACTTGCAATCCTTTAGCAAGCTGTGTTCTCTGACCATCATGCTGTTGCACATACTTTCTCTCTACCTGAAATGTCCTACTGCCCTTGTCCACCTAGCAAAGTCCTGCTCAGTGATACCAAGAGGTTACCAGGGTGGAGCCACAGTCAAAGCTTGTGTCCCAACCACTTTGATCTTTCTTTGCCCTCCTCAGAAAATTAGAAGCTAGATTATGAGCTTGTCCTGGTTTGCCTGTATGTTCTTCAGGTGAAAATGAGTCTTCCTGGGGTTTAAATGTCAGAGTGGACTTTTCTATCCAGTTGTGATGGTAAGAAAAGAGGTTACCTCTCCTGAAACACAACTAGAGACTCTACCCATCCAAACACCCTCCAGGAAACAAAAACCGAACAACCCTCCTCCAAATACTCCAGAATGACAACAGCAGTAATGAATGCACCTTCAGTGGCCTGTGAGATGGCACACACTGAAAAGCCCACAGGAGTTAAGCATGTGGTATAAATGGGTAGAGAAGTACAGTGGAATGTGTGGGGACCCTAGCAAATTGGAGAGCTCTACCTCATTTCAAGGTCATTTGTCTTTTCCTTTACATACTCCACTCACAGCCCTTAACCAAAAATGTGGAGTCTGCTCAGTTGGGACTCCTCAGAGAGAGAAGTCTGACTTCTAAGGTCCCTTGTGTCTCTGGCCTCTAAAGGGAAGGGGGAGACATTTTGAATAGGGAAAATGGCTTGAGGAAAGGCACAAAGCATAGAAAAACTATCTGGGGAATTCTTTTGCCCTAGTGACATTTGTCTTAATGGCCTATGCAGGCCTGATATCTTATCAGGCCACTACTAGGTGAATACAGTATAGTATAGTGGTTAATCATGTGCCAGGGATGGGGAACGTCCAGCCTGTGGGCTGTATAAGGCCCACGAAATCAATACCAGCTAACATACATCTCACGAAATTAGCCTGACCAAATATAGCAGGCTAATTTTTAAGCTGATAATTTTGTATGGCCCACGGATGATGTTATAAATATCCAAATGGCACTTGGCAGAAAAAAGGTTCCCCGCCCTGATAGACATTGCCCAGAGAGATCTAGGGTATGTCTTGGCTCCTTAATGCATTAGCTGTGTGACCTTGGGCAAGTCATTTGACTTCACTATGTTATAGCACTTTATCTGTAAAATGGGGGTAACAATAGAAGCAATTTTAATTTGCTGTAAGGATATAATGAGTTAATAATGTGTGCAAAGCACTTCAAACAGTGCCTAGCCTATTAAATGCTCAATAATGTTAGCCATTATTATTGTTATTGTTATAATCTAATAATTAAATATTAGGTGTTGCTACTGATGATGGGTTATTGTTTTTTTTGTCTCACAGGTAATATTCTCATTTACACAGGAGCCCTTATGCAAAGGAACAAGGAGGGCAGTCTTTTCCATCATAATATGGTCTGTTGGAGAAATTTTTGGAAGCCTTTTTTACACCCCTCAAAACAAACTCTGGATTTATTTGCATGGAGGCTAATATTGTGTTTTTGAATCTGCAGCCTGAATGCTTTCTCTAGAGGTAGAAAGACAAGAGTAAAGGATTATTTCAAGTGCTCCTTATGATCTGCACAAGTGTAGCTGCAATCAAAGTGGTCAACAAGTACCCCACCCAGCTTACTCTCCTTCCTCCTTCTAGACCTAGACTTGTGTTGTTTAGCGTGCTGTTGAGCTGGTGCCGGGGGTGATCAGTGAGTCCAGTTTCCATGTGTTTTGTGTGTGCCTGTTGCAGTCATTGTGTCTGTGCCAGCCCAAACAATTTGTCAGAGTGTTCCCTCTGGTCTTTCTTCTAGCCAACTCCCCGCTCTAAGTCATTCTAAGTCACTTGTAAAGGACTCCTAGGGCTCTAGGGCTGGATGGTGTTGAGAAACCCTGAAAGCTGCCAGGGTTAAGACAGGGCCAGGCCAGGGTAAGGTTGGGTAGCTAAGTAATACTCTGTTGAGGGTGTGAAGATTGAGAAGCAGGATGTACTTCCAAAAGGCCCTTCACAAATCAAAGGCCCTTTCTGTGCCTGCATGGGGGCCTGGCTGCTGCTGCTTTGGCTAGGAAGGAGGGGCCACTCATGCATCTCTGAAAGCCAAGCTTGGGGGAAGGGGCAGCTGATTCCCATTTTGTTTATTTGTGAAGAGGAAATCAGGCCTGATCATTAGTCTTTTACTGAAACCTGCAGCTTAAGTTTTTAAAATTTCCTCTCAAAAGAAAACACACACATACACATTAGTTATTTCCTGGCTGAAGGTTTTCAATAATAGTACTACTACTAGTAGTAGTAGTAACAATAATAATAATAATAATAACAATAATAATACTTAGTCCTAGAAGACAATTTGTAAATACTAATCCCAAGCTCTTAGGGCTGGGAAGTATTTTCTGTTCTAAACTCCAGTGCCCTCAGAGCTTATAGAGTTTTTAGAGGCAAATCAATAAAATTAAGCAACCCACACCCAAAGCAATCTGTTTCTCTCTCATATACACACCCAATTCTTGGAAAGAATGCTTCTCTTATCCTTTGCCCTGGCCTAGAGCTTCTAGGGCTTTAAATAGGGATATCTTTGTGTAGGAGGGTGGGGATGGGAGCTTTCTGACTGCTATCCATCCATCCATTTATCCATCCATTCGATTAACTCATTCCACAAATATTTAGTAGGTAACCTACTGTGTGCTGGGCACTCTCTAAAGGCATATAATCCCCCTCCATCTTTTTAGTGGCTTCACCCAGGTCTCTCAGGGTGTTTGGAGCTTCTACTCTCTTCTCTTTAACACAGTAATAGTGAAAAGAGTAATGGCTAGTATGGACAGAAGGAGGAAGAGCGAGTGGGGTAATTGTTGAAGGAATGGTGGAGCTGCATTTTCTCGAATCATTCAAGGTGTATGTTTCCCTCATTGTTTAGGATTTTTCTACATGTAGCTCTAAGAGGGGGCAAGGATGGAGCTTAAGGGTGACTGGCAAACTGTACTGGACCCAAGACCGTACCTTGGGTACCAGTGCTGACCCTAGGGCTGAATGTTTCAACCTTCAACACAAACTGAATCCTGGACCGGCTACTGAGGGCCCCTGCCAGCTGCTGGCTCTAAAGTTGGCTTTGGCTCTGGGCTAGATCTGTGGAAGTTGGGGCCCAGGCTCCTCACTCAGCAGCTTGTATTGATCTCCGGGCCTCTTTTGTCTCCTCCTCCTCAGTGGAAGCCTCTCCCCCTCTCTCTGGCTGCCTCTCAGCCTCTTCCGCTTTCCTCCTCTGCTTCTAATGAATTGAAATTTCCGAGAGCCGCCAAGGCTCTGGGAGTTTGACAAAACTGTCCTTGCTCTTTCTGCGTTTTTCCAGTCAAGGGTATCTTAGCCTGAGATTGGAGTGATGCTGTTAGTCCCGGAGATATGATTGCATAGCAACACAGAGCGGCTCCGAGAGGGGAGGAGGAGGATAAGGAGAAGGAGGGCAGGGAGGTGGGAGAGACAGAGGGAGAGTGTGCATACAGCAGCTGTCAGCATCCCTGTCTCAGGGACTTCTTTGCTGATTCACAGAGGCAGTCCAGCCCTGGCCTCCTAGCTCCCAGTTGCCGCCTGCTCCTCAGACCTGACGGACTCAGAAGGTAGGCCACAGAAAAATGATTTTTAAGCCTCACCCTTTTTCTGCTGGCTGAGGGGAAAAGACTGAGGGAGGGGAAGCCTCAGAGGTGAGTGTGTGTGTGTGTGTGTGTGTAAGTGTGCGCGCGCACGCGCGCAGGCACACACACGCCTGCCTGCTGCCTGCGTGTGCCTTTAGGGAAAAACTTGTATTAAAACATACCCCCAATATAGTGGCCACTGCTTGGATTCATAGAGGAGGAAAAAAAGATGCCCAGGAATAGAAATAAGCCAGTTTGAGCAACTAATAAATCAGAAGGTCCACAGTTTGCTTCTTTAAGAGGAGAGGGGTATTATTTGTTTGTTTGTTTGTTTGCTTGCTTGTTCTCAATTCCATGCTTTTTGTCCACGGGTGGATTTCCTGGTGGGAGAGATGGGAAGGGGTGTACAAAGCATTGGCTGAAAAGGGAGGAGAGAGGAAACGTGGGAACTTGTAGCAGGTTCCCGGAACAAATGAGTGTCTGGTCTGCAGACAGGACACAGGAGTGCCACCATGGAGCAAACAGGGCTCTGACCTAGGAGCCTGGGGTGGAAGGTGCATCCTTATCTCCGCATGTACTTCCTGGCTCAATCTGTCTTCCTTGTTGCATTTCCCCCTTGCTCTTTCCTTGTTTTCCTTTCTACACCCTGTAATCTAGAAGCACCTTTCTACTCTTGAGAGCATAGCTTGGAGTGGTTTGAAATCGGGCTTATCTCTCCTGAAGTCAAGCACCCCATTCCTTCTGCTCTCCATACCTTTCCCCAGCATCAGGGCTTATGCCCCAGCCCGGTAAGTGGGCCTGAGATTGTGGGGAGTTAAGGCGTATACTGCCTTTGGTAGTCAAGTGAAGCCAGGCCGCCTGGGTGTTGGATTCAAGCAGCTTGCTGGGCTGGGGCTGGGGCTGGGGCTGGGGCTGGGGCTGGGGCTGGGGCTGGGGCTGGGGCTGGGGCTGGGCTGGGCTGGGCTGGGCTGGAGTGAAATAGAGGAGGGACAGCAGCAGTGGCAGCTGCCTGCTTCCATTGAGAGCATGGTGTTTTCTGTCTGGGAAAGAACATACTTTTCTCTCATGTTTTCTTTTTAATTCTTCAAGAGAAGAACAGCCTTTAAAAAGCTCTATATCTAGCTAATCTTAGCACCTGACTTTTCCAAAGAAATCCTTGTTTCTAGATGAAAGGCACTCTGATAAATGACCCTTTAAAGGGCCCTGTGTGTCCCCCAAACCTCAGGAGAGTCCCCCTCTGGGATCGGGGTCCGGAGATGGTTCCAGCCAACCTCAGGGCCTTTTAAGGAACTCCCCCACCCAAAAAGGCCATGCTTCAAGTGGGAGTGATAAGTGTCCTGTCCCTGAAAGAAGATTGAGCCCCTTCTTTCCTGGGTAGGCCAGCCTCCATCCTACAGACCTGCTTCCTGCAAACTATTGCTGGTGGATGAAGGCATGCAGAAAAGGCTCCTCTTCCTATGAGATTTTTTCCCTAAGACATTTCTCCCTTGTTAAGTAGCTCTGAGCTCTGGGCCAGAGGACTCTTCAGCTCCATAGTCACCCAAAGGAGGGGAGCGTGGCTTGAAGCAGCAAACTTAGTAAAGGCCCAAGAGCCAGATACAGAGAGCACATCTGAGTTGCAGCACTTTGAACCATAGATACACAGAAGTTTCTCATGTTAAACCTGCCTCAGTGCCAGATAGGATGGGCTCTCACTACCGAAACCCAAGAGATATCCTTCTAAACTTGCCATAAACACTCACTAAAAGGGAACCGACTGTAGAAATCATAGTATGAAACTACATTCCTCCCTTACAAAGGATTCTAAATACACAGCAGCAACTTAAATAGCAAGCGAGATAAATCCTTCGAGGACAGCATTTCCCAAACTGATATTCCAGAGAACACAGTTCTGAGAGAATGTTAATAGATTCTCTTTTAAAATAAGGAGTGTTGGTAGTGGGTGCATTCTCTGGTCCAATAATTTTTTGAAAATGTTTTAAAACTGAATTCTCCTCTTGGAGACTCACAATGTATATAAGCACATTAAAGGTTCTGAGGACTTGGACATGGACAACAGTGTAGTGATTCTGGGGGTGGGGAGGGTATGGGTAGAGATGGAAGAGAACATAGAGGGGGTAAATGGTGATGAAAAAATTAAAATAAAAATGGTTTCTAAGGGGGGACTTAGAATTAAAATAAAAATGGTTTAAAAAGGGGGCTGAGGAAGACTGCTCTAGTTGCATTCAAAGAGACCAATTTAAGGTAACTATCTGTACGTCTCAGGCAGATACATAGCTGCAAAGTTGTCAATGTTTTAATACTACAATTATTATTAATATTATTGGGTTGTTTTTTTAAGTTCTTTCCATGGTGCCTATTCTGCTAGCTTGACCTTTACTGTTTAGCTGTGATAACAGCAGGTCAAATTATCTTTCTGTAAAATTTATGTAATTATGGACTGATTTTAGAAATACTCAATTTGTTACTTAAATATCTGTAACTTAATTTAAAGCTCATTTTAAAACAAAAGATAATAAGAAATGTAATATTGTAGATATAAAAATAAATATAGGTTCTGAAGACTACTATAAATAAATCTGTTTAATTTTGTTTAACCTAGTATATCCCAAACTGATTTGACCAGGGAACACTTTTCTACATGGAAAACACTTTAGCATCTTTCAGACACAGTTTTTGGGAATTGCTGCTTAAAAAAAGAAAATAGCTGGATAAAATTATCATATGGGGGTGGCGGCTTGTAAAATAATCTAGTCCAACACTGCATTTTTAAATGTGAAAAGGATTGAGAGATTAATCTAATTATTCTCTTTCCCAAAGTCAATACATATCTGAGAGAGTGGAATCCTTATCTCCTGATTTTTAGTCCACTGTGCCCAACTGCTGCTTCTTCGCAGGTTCCCTCTGGTGAAACTATTTTCAGGAAAATGAGGCAGGTTTAAGGAATAAGCTTGTCATTTTGAGAACAGCATTTATATCTTATAATTTCTTTTAGTATTTTGTTATTTCCAAAAACTATGAATTTTCCTTTCAGCATGGGATTTGTTTCATTCTTTTAAACCATGTGTTATAAACATTTTTATTCAAGGAATAATAACGAAAATCAGGTTACCAACTACCCAGCTTAAGAAAAAACAAAACAAAACAAAACAAAAACGTTACCAATAGAGTTGAAATCCTTTGTCTATCCTTCTGTGATTAAAGCTCTCTCCTTCTCTCCCTCTCTCCAAAGTAACCCCTTTCCTGGATTTGGTGTTTATTATTCCACTGCATTTATTTATACTTTACCACATATGACTGTGTCTTTAAACAGCATATACCACTTGCTTTATATGTCTTAAAAATTTATATCGATGGTCTGAATTATTCTCCAGTTTTTTTTCTATTCAGTGCTATATTTGTGAAATTCATCTATGTTGTGCCATGTGGCTCTAGTTCATTCATTTTTTTTTTTTTTTTACTATTGTATAGCATTCCATTTAATGAATATGCTATGTTTATTTATCTATTCTGTGGTTCATGGACAGTTAGGCTGCTTCCAGTTTTTGGTTCACAGTTAGGGCTACTATAATCATTCTTGTGTAGATATTCTTATGTGACTGTTGCTATCCAGTTTGTATCTAGGAGGGAATTGTCCCATTACAGGGTCTGAGAATCTTCACCTTTGGGAGATATCGTCAAATAGTTTACTAACTTGCACTCCCACTAGTAGTGTATAAAGGTTTCAGATGTAGTGTATTAACTGGCTCTTAGCACACAATTCTCCCCAAGGAATATGTCTCTGATTTTGTCACTGGAAAATAAATTTTATATCTCAAAATTGCTTGACAGCTAATAACTTCTCAGGAACACATTTCATTGTTTCCATCTGTAAATGAGAGGGTTGGCCTAGATAGTCTCTAAGATCCTTCCAGTTTGACAATCTGAGTTTCCATGGTTTATTCATTAAGTGAGAGCATCTGAAGCAGAACCTTGGTTTTTTTTTTTTTTACTACATTGCAGGAATTATTTTAAGAACACATAACAAGGTTTGGTACCAGTGAAATATGTGTCTTGTCTCTTAGTGCCATGCTGTCAGGTAGAAAGACAGTGCTGTGAGAGAGGGGGCCATCATACAGCATTACCTTGGGTTGGAGAGCCCATGAGAAGGGATGTCTTCTTCCCACTGGCCTGTTCTTTCTTGAGCCTTACTGATTTAGAAGTCTTCCTTATTTATTTTTTCTGCCAAGAATAATAAATGCTTGTTGTAATATATATATTTTTTTCTTTATACACATGCACATGCAAACACACACACACACACAAACATACACACACCACAGTGTATAAAGTCAAAAGGAGACTCCCCTTCATACAACTCTCCAGAAGTGTTGTCATGTCGCTAAACACTTTTATGTGTCCTTGCAGGCTTTCTCTCTGTGCACGCAATACACAGATATTTTCAAAAGGTTTTTTACAAAATTGGAGTTCTCTCAGACATATTATTCTGGCACTTGTTTTCTTTTACCTAAAAAAAATATACCTTTGACATCTGTTCAAATGAGTGGATACAGAGCTACCTCTTTTTAACAGCTTCATAATATTCCATTGTGTGAGTGGCTACAATAATATTTGAGTACTCACTACATGTCAAAAACTATAAATTAGCTTCTTGCAACAAGGGTATGAAGTAGATCTTTCTGTTATCTCTATTTTACAGATGTGGGGACTGAAGCACAGTAAGGTCAGGGAACTTATCCAAACTTGTGCTGATAAGTGGCAGAGCCAGGATGCAAACCCAAGCATCCTGGCTCAGAGCCCATACCCTTAACTGTCATTCTGTGCTATCTCTCAGACATAATCCACATAACTATTCTCCTGTGGATGGGCATTTGAATTGATTGCAGAGTTTTGCTATTGCAAGCAATACTGCAGCATACACACTTGTTCACTTCTGCAAGTATTTCTGTAGGCTAGATTCTTAGACTTCTCCAGTTTATAGGTGG